GGCTGCAAATAGTCCAGGCCAATGCTGTGAATACCACGGCTACAAAGCAAGAAATCCAGCAAGGCAAGTTGAAGACTCCAGGAAGCAAAGGAGCATGGCAAGAAATCCAGAAATCCAGAAACAATGCAAGGAATTGAGGAAAGTTCAAACATCGGCACTCAACACTCCAACTATTCAGCATTTGTTCCTGACAAATGCCCCTCCCCACAGCATCTCCTTAAATCTCAGTACCCAGGTATGTCTTGTGAAGAGGGATGGGGCGCTCTCCTCCTGAGTAGCCAGCTCAGCCTGCACTTTTCTCACCTTCTCTCTACCCTCTGTGCTCAAGGATCAGGAGAGGGTGGTCCTTGTCATCACCTGGGCATCCTGCTCCCCTTCCTCCCTGCCTTCAAGCTGTCCCAATCCTGAAAGGCTCCGGCTTGATCGGCCCTGCTCCTCCCCGTTTTCCTCCAAAACCAACGAAGCGGCCCCCTCAATCTCTGTCAGCTCCAGTTCCAGCTCATCTTCCCCCACAGATTCAGGTTCACAGATCCACTCCTCCCACAAAACTATCCCCTCTTTCCCCCCACCTCCCATCTCCAGGCTGCCAACCCAAAAAGGTTGGGGAACTCTGCACTAGACCAAACTAGCTATCCAGTGCATTATCATTCTTCGAGAGAGGAGTAACTGGGGGCCTTTTGTGTCACTGATCTGCACCAAAAACCAGAAAGCAAAGGCTAGATCACATGAGAAGACATTGTCCAGTTCACACATTCTGCTGAACCAGACAGTGAAAGAGGGAGAAGGAGAAGTGCATTAGGTTTTGTAACCCTCAGTAAAGATTTTGTGGCTTATACAACCTTTTCCCTTTTCTTTCAAGGCTTTATCTGTTTGCCCTGGTGAGCTATTTGCCATCTGATAACACTAAAAGATGGCTTGGTTCTATTTTTCACTGCATCATTCCTTCAATGTTACTCAACTCAGGTCCCTTATCATTTTCATCCAGAACTTATTAACACCTTATTTTGAAAAGAAAGCAGGATGGGGAAAAAAATTGAGCAGGTCTTTACAAGCCACAATCTCCTCTTCCATGAGTTTAATTCGCAACTCAGGTAATCCTCATTTAGCAATTGTAATTGAGACCTTCGACTCTTTAACAAAGCACTAAGTGAAACTACAACCGAGCATATGATTTTGCTTCAGCTTCCCTTTGTTTTATAGACCTGCGATATTTGCAAATGCGAGGATTGGCCACAAAGTTACTTTTATATCATGCACCTAACTGTGAATGGTAACTAAGTGAGGCAGTCACTAAATGAGGACCAGCTGTTTTTTAAATTTGAGAGTGTCTTTTGTAGTTCCCAAGGTGCCCACAAAAGCTGCTTCAGTTCATTCTAGTCCATATTTCAAACAGCTTTATGCTGATCCTTCATGTCCAGGAGAATAACTAGTTTTTTTTCCTGCTTATAGCATCCTAGAATCAAAGCATATTAAACTTTACTTGGCTTTCTGATCCCTTTGGGGAAATGTGATTTTAGTTGACCAACTAAGCCTTCAACATTTATTAGTACAGTAATTGCTTAGGAAACTGGTACAAAATTGCTGTTTACTGCCAATCAGTATCATCAAAATAAGAAAGAGGGAGGGAGGGAGGGAGAGAGAAGGAGAGAAGGAAAGAGGGAGGGAGGGAGGGAAAGAGAGAGAGAGAGCACAAAGAGACCAATACATTCTGTCTGCTATCCAGGATGTCAATGAAAGTTAGAATACTGATAGAATATAATATTTGTAGCTCAGGGTTAAACTATGGAGTCCTTGGTGCACTCTGAGCTTGGTTGTTTTCTTGCAGATGTTTCATGACCCAACAAGGTAACATCATCAGTACCAGAAGGGAGTGGAATTTGGGGAGAGGAGGAAGAGGGCTGTGAGGTCTTTCATGCTCTCTGAACTCTGTTGTTTTCTTGAAGACATTTCATGACACATCTAGGTAACATCATCTCTAACTTACACCATAGAAGCTTAAAGCATTTGTTATATTGTACAGTATGAAAGTCATCAACAGTTGTTGGATTCTGGTGGGATTACATGTCAAACAAACAAACCTAATTTTAAACAGCAACTGGCCGGATTACAAATAATCATACTGTAAATATATAAATTAATATCATAAACAAATATATATATATACAATGGATATATTAAAATACAACTTTTGGGCCTCAGCTGCTAAAAGCCAATAAGGTGGCATTTTGCCCAGTGGTTAAAACTGAAGATTGAAGTATTCAGCACCGAAAGTCAGGGGTGGGATTCAAATTTTTTAACAACCAGTTCTGTGGGTATGGCTTAGCTGGTGGACATGGCTTGGTGATCATGTGATTGGCTGGGCATAGCCATCTCAGCATCACTCACATTGAGGCACGCATCTCCTCACCTGGCCTCTCATGACTGTGGGGATGCTGCAACAGTGGTAAGCGTGAAAAATGGTCATAAGTCACTTTTTTCAGTGCCATTCTAACTTTGAATAGTCACTCCACACAAGCAAAGTACCAGCAAAGGAGGGAAAAATAACTCCAGAGAAGTTTCTGAGACAGCAAGTCTAGTCCTGCCAAGAATGTAATAAGGATTAACGGGGAGGCAGTTTCAGTAAGCAACACCAGAATGTTTCCTTCCTGCCTTCCTTACAGGATTAGGCCAGTAATTTCTTCTAGCAACCAGTTCTCCGAACTGTTTAGAATATTAACAAGTGAATAGGTGCAAACTGGTAGAATCCCACCCCTGCCCAAAGTCATTCATTTTCTTTGGTTGGCAAAAAAAACAAAATATGTCCTTCTTTCAGGAATCTCTTAGGTCTCTTATCTCTGTTCTTCCTCTCTCTCGTGTCTATGGAGAGACAGTTCCAATCCACTTCAAGGCAACATAAGGTGCTAATTTAAAGCTTTTGCCACTGTTTGCACAATAGTCTTTTGTCAGTTAGCTTGTTCATCTCACAAAGGGATGAAACATTGAATTGTTATAGCACCTTACAGATTCATGAAATCCTAGCAGCCTTCTCAGGTCTTCAAATATGGAAGAATGGGCTTCTTGTACTACTACGACATCTCCTCTGTTTGATAGATACAGATTAACAGAGTTGGAAGGGACCAATGTAGGTCATCTAGTCCAGTGGTCACCAACCAGTAAGCCAGGAATCACTGGTGGTCCATGAGAAAATTTTGGTGGCCCACAGAGAAACGTCACCCCCCCAAAGCACCCCCCAAGCAATTAATCCAGGCTGCGTGGGAACACAAGCCTTGCGTCGCTTGCATTGTGAACAACATGAGGTAGTAAGGGGAGGGGGGAAAGGGCGGAGAGACTAGCCCCACTCTCCCCATGCGCCTTGCCTGGCCACCGGGCTGCTTCTTTCTTCTTGTGCTTTTGGCTGCGTACAAGGAAAGCAGCAAAAGTCTTTCTTTCTCTCCCCCAAACTCTGCCTGCAAGGCATCCTGCTCCAAGAGGCTGCACCATTCTGGTGGAGCTTGGGGGAGAGAAAGAAAGATTTCTGCTGCTTTCCTTGCATGAAGCCAAAAGTCAGTCTCTCTCTTTCTCTCAGAATGGAGCTGGAGACGGTATCCTGCAATCCCAAATAAAGAATGATCGATTGGTAGAAAAACAGGGTGGGGAATTTTCCCGCAGACTTTCTTTGGGATTTTCCCAGGGTCTCTTCTACTTCTGCTTTTTCTGGAGGAATATCCCCCACCCCGGTTTCCTACCGATAGATCATTATTTGGGATCACAGGATACTCTCTCTCTCTCTCTCTCACACACACACACACACACACACACGCACACACACACATACACACACACACACACACACACACACACACACAGGTCTTTCTCTCTCACACACACACCCCTCCAAGGCAGCCACATTCCTAACCTGCTTTTCAACTTCATTCTCGGGGGGGGGGGGGGGGGGGGGGGGG